AAAACATTGTTTCCATTTCTCTCTGTATGTTATTAGATCTCCATTAGGTTTAGGCTCATAATCGACATGATACTCTCTCTGAAGGAGGAAGCCAGTTACTCAAAATGTTATAAATCACTACAACAACAAAGTCAGTTGGAATAGGGATATCAATCAAAATAGAAATAATTTAATAATGAGGGATTAAAAGAAAAAACAAGGTTATCCTAGAGAAGTAATTAGGCGCTCATTATGAATGTCTAAATGAATACTTACTTTCCGACTACTGGTCTGAGCTATATCATTAGGTGTAGACTACTCGATTAGTTAGGGTTTTAATGGATCATTCACAATGGTCGGTTTATGTTGATTCATTATCTTTGTTCAAATCTTCAATTCTGTATTACTCTTAACTTCTTATACTTCGTTCCCATTTACACAATCTAAACTATACGTCACACAAGTATCATTCATAAGGTTTAGCTTGATAGTTTCATACAAGCTAACTTACTTGTTTGAAGAGCGTCAATGCAACTCCTTGTGTATGTGGGGCATCTTCTTCATCATGGCCGGAGTATAACAGAAGCTCCCCTGAAGCTAGTCATTGTTGTCGAACATGCTTCCAACGTGTTTCACTGATCCCAAGCACCTCTAGGTTGTATCTCCTCATTTCTGCAGCAATTTGAAAGACTCTACCGGTCTCCCACATTGTATGAACATTCCATGTACCTAAATAAATGGTTGCTCTGGTTGTCAGAAGGGGCATTGGCCTCGTGACTTCCGAAGGAACTCGGATTTCACCATGAGGCGTCATAACTCTTCTAAATGAAGACCTTCTGACTCCCAGGGCAAAGTTTAAAAGGTTTGAATAATTTTTTCTGGTCAGCGTTTTTTAGCGAGTTAGTTTTCTACGGGATGGGGACGCTAACCCCATGCCCGACCCTCCTCCTTTATCCGGGCTTGGGACCGGCAGTAGCCCTCGGAAGGACTCCAGGCGGAGTTCATATAAACTAAGTATTAGATCAATTATTAATGATAGCAATAATATACATGTAGTGATGAAATGAGTAGAAAAATTTTGTTTGTTTATTCATTCACTAAACAACTGGCTTGAATTTGGATCATAAAATGTGATAGGTCTTGCTAAGTGAATGCAAGATTCAGTTTCCTCAACTCTTCTAGTAACCCCCAGGCTAAATCTACACAGCGACTTGAACGCGAGAGAAAAGATGAGGAATATGGAACAAACGCTTTACTCTAAAGGTTCGTTTATGTACAGAAAATCTAGGGTTTTTATATTAATTTAGATGGCCTTGGGTTTCAGGAACGCTACTAAACACGGTAGTAATATAGATAATCACCCAACCAAAAACTCGACATGTGACTTTTCACTTTCTAGATGTTTCTGGTAAAACTTCTATTGAATGCTGGTTAGATAAGATGCTTCTCAGCATTTCCTGAGCCTTTTTCGGGCTTTTTTGAGTTTTCTGGACCTCCCCAATATAGAGTACATAGTATAGTAAATTTCCCATGTCCAACTTTTCGCTTTAGTTGATATAATTCTATCATTTAATTGTTTTTCTGTGTAATAAGAAAGATAATCTGATCTAGTTACTTATGCATGTTACGCCTCGTGGAGCATAGGGAGTCGACTAGAATGCTCCAGTCAACTCGATCCTGGTTTCTCCTTTCAAGTTGGTTCCAAGTTCTGTGAATCTTTTAAATGTCTGCTTCCAATTTTCGGAGTAATGTGTTCCTCGGTCTGCTTCTGTTACTTTTGCTTACGAATTTCAAGTTAGAACTTGGACTGTGATGCAGTTTGATGATTTCCACCATATGTGTCCTTTACACTTACAGAATCATAATTTCTCCTTCATTTGGAAATTGGTTTGTCTTCAGCCTTAATAGGTTGTTGATGATGGTATCTTGTGTAGACAATTACTTATAAAAACTGCATATCTTTGAGTCTGGTTGTAGTAGTTGTTCAAGACTCAGTTCCATACAATCGTAGTGTCTTTACGTTTGTATTGGAAATCCTGTTTTTGGTGTTGACTGACAGACAGTTGTTTTGAGTTCCAAATGTTCTTCAGTTATAAAAATGCTGTCCTAACTTTGCCAATCATTGCCTTCACACTTGTATCAGATTCCTCATGATTATCAATGATACTGCCTAGGTACATGAAAGTTTCCACATCTTCCAGACCTTCTCCATCAAGTGTGATTGCGTTGGTGTTCTCCGTGTTTCATTTCAGTATCCTACCTTTTCCTTTGTGTATAATGAGGCACACTGATACAGAGGCTTCCGCTACACTAGCTGTCTTCATTTCCATTTGCTGATTTGCATAGGATAGAATGGTTAGGTCATCTGCGAAGTCCAAATCTTCTAATTGATTCCCAGCTGTCCATTTTATTCCATGATTCTCGTCAGATGTCAAGGCCTTCATAATTCAATCGACCACCGGAAGAAATGGTAAGCAACCTTGTCTAACACTGATCTTCACATGAAATTCATATGTGAGATACCCTCCATACACTTACCTTAGAATAAATTGAAAATACGTCGATTTTTTATGCCGATGACTGAACACATTATTTCACATCAAAATTAGTCCCAAGGATTGCGAGTTTTACGATGAGCACAACGCAAATAAACCACTAAGATAATAATACAACAGTTTGCTTTCTTCACTTAAGATATTGTATGACTGAAGTTCATCGTATATACTATTCTCTATTGGAATGATTATTAATCAGTACCCTTGACTACTGTAAACTGTTAGAAATAATACAAATTTCATCATACTTCAAGAGAATGTAAATACCCAAAGCCCCACATAAACGCGATTGAATCACACTACTTACTATTACAAAGTAGTTTGAATTATACTTTGTCGTTTATGCCATTCCCATCATATTTCTTTTTTGAACTTGCCTCCTCGTGGTATTTGTTTAAGCACCATTTTATTTCAGAGTTCTGATTCATTCGTATCCTTCTTATATTATTGTGTCTCCTCTGTGTATGAAGTTATTTGAAACTTCATCCATAAAGGGGAATTCAGTGTTTTCTTTGTTTCTATTAACGTATGATATATCTTGCTTAACATAGTCGTGTGTTATTTCTCTACCCCCAGTAGATCGCAACATCTTCGTAATGCCCTTAGTTGAAAAACAAACAGAACTTCCTTTCAATCATGCTTAGTTACTGCATGATTTGGACGTTGATCATCAATGTCATATTTCTAGTAAAACTTTGGTATGTTAACATTTCCACAATTTACTTGGATCTTAAAACGAGCAAAACCACTAGATTAAGCAACTGTTTGTGAATATATATTTTACTAACGACCTTTAAGTGACCTTGGAAAGAGATTCGGTTACCACTCAGTCCAGATGGAGGTGATACAAATGAATAATTTAATGCATAAAAACCGAAAACGTTACTGTTAAGATCAGATGTGTTTAGAATGGGAGGATGATTTCTAACCACATTTGTGAATACTTAACCAAATAATTTTCTGGATTCAAACCACAAAAATTTGTAGATTATCCTTAAAATGTGTCGATGCATTTTTGTTTTATTATTTTCCACTACATATTAATCATTTACTTAAGAGCTGTTGACGTTTAACCCTTTTCTTGTCTTGTTAAGAATTGATACGCGTACTACCCTAGTAACCACCACAGTTTAGGTTACATTTATCACTTACTTAACTCTTAATAATATACAGACTAATGGTTATTGAGTTCTGAATTTCAAGCGAAATCTATCATAATTAATAAGAATCAGTCAGTCAGTCATCTGCAACGTAGGACTAGGTGCATATACGCATCGGTCCAAGTTATCACACCTCATTAGAATAAAAAGATGAACACAAAATTTACAGTATTTACTTCAATAGTAGTAATATATAAAAGGTTGTGTATGAGGATATAGCACAGGAAGAAAGAATTAGTACGTAGAAAGAAAGAAATGAAGCGATTTTAATCTCTTAGTTTAAGGGAAAACAGAGAGGGTATACACCCACGCCATTGTGATCAATTATGAGTCACGTCACAGTCTCCAACCATTGGTTAAAAATAGTCGCGCGGACCCTAACCAAGTATTCTGCATCTACCAACATGGCTCAGACTAGAAGTTAGTGACTTCAAGCACTGATGCTACGTTTTGGTTTGGCCACCCCTAACTTTCTTCCAACCATCCCGAACACCGGTTAGCATTGCATGTCGTAGTAATCGGTGTTCGGGCATACGTAACACGTGGTCCAACCATCTCAGTCGATGAAGAATCACAACCTCATCAACAGATTTACCATCATTCCATAATACCCTGCGTCTAACCTCAGTATTACTTACCCGGTGATCCCATTAGATGCGAGCAATATTTCTAAGGCATCTGTGGTCAAATACTAGTGGCTCACGAGTGTCTTCTACTGTCAATGGCCATGTTTCGCTGCCGTAAATTAAAACAGAACGGACTGTCGCGCAGTATACTCGTCCTTTTATTGATAGACGGATATCTCGCCTTCGCCATAGGTGACGTAAGTTGGCAAAAGCCAAACGAGCTTTTCGAATCCGTGCTGAGATTTCGTCCGATACCAACCCATTAGGGCTGATCAGACTTCCGAGATAAGTGAGGTTGTCAATGCGTTCGACTACTTCACTCCTTATTCTTAGTTCAGATGTTGACATAGATCAAATAATTAATAAAAACCAAAAAATAAGTTTGTTTATAGTTTATTTCAAATTTGATGTTTGAAGACAACGGAAATATACATCTGTAGGATATTTTATTTATAAGTAACAACAGACTGGAAATTATTCACATAATAGTAATAATAATAAAAGGAAGAAATGTAAGAGTAAAATAAAGAATGAACAGATTGAAATATATTCTCCAAAATACAAATCAAACTAATAAGTATCCGAATCAAAGAGAACAAACCATTCAAACAGCTAGTATGTATGTATATATATCTATTCCCCCAACAAATATTGACCATATTAAAACAAAATTACTTAAATTATGAACATAAACCATTTGGATTGAAGTCAGATGAATTTGGTTTTTCAAAATTTTCAGGATTTGTATCTTTATTGTTTTTCTTCTTTCGAAAGCATCGTTTTGTATGTCCTCGACAATGTTCTGTACAATGTGTATTTTTATGTGTGCTTTGTTTATTTATATCATCGTTATCATCAGAAGAATGATCAGAATAATCTGATGATGAACTAGATGATTCATTCCATTTTCTTGGTTTTTCATAAATGCAACAACAATTCGACTTTTTTTTACCCATAAATTCATTATCTACTGTACCTTCAGCCCATCGGATTACTGGACCATGACTAGAAGAAGGTAGATTATTTTCATTATCAACTGTTAGAGTATTACTAGTTCCTCGTATTAATAGAGGCTGTTAAAATTAAAATGAAATCAACAAGAATCGGTCAACAATTAAATTAGTCACAATAGTATTTTTTTTAGAAACAGTCAACTTTAAAAATTACCATTCCATATGTGACACGTTATCGTCATTTGTTCTAAAGCAAATATTTAGCGTCGACTGAGCAGTATGACAAACTTAAACAAAGTGACTCAGTGGGAACGATTCGTTCTGCTGAAATCTAAGTGTTTTTAATCAAACACATATAAATACAAAGAGTTTTTAACTTGATGATGTCACAGTGTTTCTTACTTGTCAGGAAAGTCCAGTATTTTCATTTATTTTCGGCTTATTATATTTAAAAATTGTATGTCCAAATGTTTCCATTAGGTTTTACTGACATAATAGTTCCCAAATGCCCTGGTACGGTTGAGAATGGGGAGTTAGCTCTCTCTCTCTCTCTCTCGAAATGCTCTCCCATGGCCACACATATAAAGCCATTGTCAGGGAAGTCTTACTCACTATCCTCTAGCAGTAGGGGTGTTGTTTATGGAACTGAGAGGATGAAAAGCAAATATCCGTCGCTCTAGCCGGGTTGGTGGATAGAGAGAATCCACCTAGGGGATTTGGAAAACCGTGATTCTAAACCAATGGTGCACATGGGCTCCAGGATGCTGAAGAAAGAAATGGCGTATGAACCTATTGTTGGTCATCGGCTACCTTAAAACTGCATCTTCTTACGTTTCGACAACGCCTTGTGGATTAGACCTCTAGGTCAAAAGTCCCGGGTGTGGCCCCCAAAGAAGACCACCTGCTTCGGTCTGAGCACCCAGGCATTATCACAGCCCATACACAAATCAATTGACTTGTGTGGCGCATATGTATTCAGTGCCCCTATGTGCCAATATTTATGTGTTCAAATAAATAAATAAAACGAACTTCATTATATATTGCATTGATTTGACATCTATCAACAGAGCACTAGTCCAGTTGTAAGACATGAAAGTTAAACTGATTATCGCTGTTTCCAAAAATGATGGTATTTATAAGAACTAATAGATTGTAGTTATCTTATCAGCATCAACTAAGAAATAAGTACACTCAACAAGTTCTGTCGGCATCAACCAGCACATACTTAGTGTACACTTTATGAAGCATTTCTTTATATTGGTAGTTATTCGAGATGATTTATTCTCGAAAACAAATTATGCGACTTGTTATTTTATTGTGTTGTTTTCCTAAATTTGAGTTTCTTTTTCTACTTTGAGTGCTAACTGTAGGATTCTAGATTTTAGTTATAGTCAAAAATTCTGTTATCCTGACTCCTTATCAGTCAGTTACAACGTGAAACCTTGTACGCATGTGAATAGGTTCAGATTGTTATAACTATTACCACAGCAAGATGAAACTGACAGGCCTAATCCCAGAGTAGTAGAGGTAGTTACAGTACCAATGGTAATAGAAAAGACTATGCATCTAAAATACAGACCAAGAAGACAAGAATTAATGAAATGAAAGTTCTGAGGAATTCAGAAGTTTAAGAATTTGGAAGAAGACAAAAAATGGATGTACCTGAGCCTTAACAAACGGTCGTGGGCCATTTCATTCAAAGTCTCTAACCACTGGTTGTAGCAGTTACACATCCAAACGACGTAAGCCTACACCTATTAACATGGCTCAGTCCTACTGTCAGTGACTTTCATGGACTGGGAAAATGTTTTGGTTTGGCCACACCTAGCTTCCAGTCAATGCCTACAACAAAAAACACTACCCGTCAAGGTAGGCGGAGGTTAGGGGTGCATAACACGTGTCCCAATCACCTTAGTCAACAAGGATTCACTACCTTACCGATTGATTTACCATCTTTATTATGTATCCGATCTCTAACATAGGCAATGCTTACTCAGTGGTCCCAAAATACATGAGTAGTGCTTCAAGGACACCTGTGATTGGATACAAGTAACCTACGGATATCATGTTTTTGACGGACATGTTTCGCATCCACAGAAATAGGGCGTACAGTTGAATAGTGAGCTTGTCATTTGGTTGGCAGACGGATATCTTGCTTACGCTACAAGTGACGCAAGTTGGCAAAAATTAATCGAGCACTAGCACAGAACCCCACGATCAAGAGTTGAACGACGCCATAAGGTTAAGGAATGCAACTAGTTAGGCGTCAAAAAGTCTGGCTATGTTACAGAACCTGCCGAAGGGTGAACATTTGGTCCATACATCTGCATCCAGGTCTGAAACCAGCCTGGTTTCCTTGTGTTTGCTATTCACTATCTCTAGTTAGGCGTCGAAGTATTATTGAGATCGATATTTTAGATGCTATATTAGCTAAACGGATTTCTTTGTGATTATCACAAGAGGAATTTTTTCCTTTCATACAGGCTGAGGTGGTCGCCTAGAGAGACCAGATCTCAGATTCTAGCTAAGAACTCTTAGAATTTCAACAGGACTGTAAATGTATTTACATACAATGACCATTCTTTCAGTTCGGTTTTCTTTGGTCTATTCACTTTACATTTTGATGAAGTTAATGTAACCAGAAAATATTTTTTTAATGAAGGGATCAACTTGATCAATAACATTCATAGCTAATCAGTTAATCAATAAATAAAGGCAGTATATGCACGTCTGTCCAAAGTCGCTGAATCATTATTTAAAGATATCAATAAACACCTATTAACCTCATTGAGATTACTGATAACATACAAAACAGCCAGAAATATTTAGGTCCTTCAACAAAATCTGTAGGGGCTTTCTAGTGCTAAAAACATAACTCTACAGCCAATTTATCGGACATCATGGAGTAAATAATATGTAGATGTAGTTTTGGACTTTTTCTCATGTTTCCAAATCACCAGGAAACTATTCAATAGAAAATTCGAAATACATTTTCACCTGATTGACATCAGCAAGTGTAGTTGGTTGTTCCTCTCTTTCTGATTCTACATTTGTTCTTAATTCCGTGGCCATGAACCCAATTAAATGCTTATCAAATTGATATGAAGGTACCAACTCCTTGTGTATGTCTGTAAGATGGAAAAATCAAGTTAGGACAGAGCAAGAACAAACAAAACTTGAAGATACTTAATAATTGGAATGGTCGATTGTTCGGAGAAATAGTACGTCTGATAATAGAAAAGTGGAAATAGGGATTTTGAACTGATTATGTAGAGGAGTAGCATTTTCATTTGAGTTGTGACCTGGTGATGCTTGACTGAGCGCTACCAACTAGTTATGTCCATTGAGACAACGAGATCAAAATAAATATTGAGTTTCAAGGAAAAAATCTATACCAGCGAGTCGTTTGCCACTACATATTCAAATACAATTGTCAAACTTACAAATTTGAGTTCGACAACCGAATAATTTCATTAGCCCTTATAATAAGGTATAACTTACAGTAAGTCGTACGAGATCGGAACTAGTTATTCAGTTGCATGACCGTTATTTGGATCGAACATGAACTGAATACAACGAATATCGCAGTCACACGAACATGGTGTCAAGCGGGAAAGCTCACTGTGATTCAATGACAAATGTCTGTGAATAATATTTTTACCGCTTAAGCGGCAACAACTTGCGTAGGTGAACAGCTAAGTCTAGTTTAAATACGAGATTTCAGTATAAATACCACTCTCTGAGTAACTAATAACTAATTCCGAAAACTAAACTGCAAATATTAACAAACATATCCACATGCATTTGGATACGTACATTCAGTCACAATTCACACACTTCTGATTAACCATTTTATAAAACGTACGTAACTGAAGCAAAACCAACTTAAGAAAACTTTCAACTTTATAAATTGTTCCTCAGATGCCAAGCAGTCAACTTCAGACAGAGTAACGCAACATCCAAAAGAGAGTTATTAACGAACAATATGTATATTTAAATGCAAACGACTAGTATAAACAAATTTGCACTACGTACATAATAATTACAAAACTGTTACTCGTTTTCGGCAAAACTTTACGTCCAGCCTAAAATTGCATGCAATTTTCATTCGTTTTTGTAATGAGTATATGGAAGCAATATTTAGTTTCTTCGGACTTATTTACCACACAGTGTGCTTGCGTTTACAAAGTAATTTGAAATGCTGTGTAGTTTCAGTTCAAACGGCTTTGTCACCTAATTGCCGTGTACTCAACATACTTCAAGGGCAGATGTTAATTTTGTAGGGTCAATGATGTCACTAGGTCTTAGCCAAGTCTTTCAAGAGGGAAGTTATTGAATGTCGTGCAGTGCACTAGTCGCCGCGGATGTCAGATATAACTAACATTCGCTACTCAATTGTGTACTATGAATAGGCAACTGTGGTTCCACCTCTTGCTTTTGTTAACTGCAAATACTAATGTATGCCGTTGCTTGCTGTTGGTATTGATGATGTCACAGATATTCAGTGTTTGACAACGCTTCTACCAGTAACACCTAATATATTTCGTTCCCACCCAGAGAAATCAAAAGACAGAGTCGAAGAGATCGGAGGAGTATATTTGGCGATGACCAATATATCGGAATTCTCTGATCTATTCTGGCTATCGATTGCGGTTGACGTTGAGCACGGCGTTACCACACGTGATCTGGTGCGGATGCCTGACCGAGCGCCTTCAGCTAGACGAGTCCACTAAAACATATGGTCAGCATCCAATGTCGAAAACTTAGTGCTTTTTATTTTGGAGATTTATTCACCGCTACGGATCACTCCCCCCCCTAGTGGGGCAGTGACGACCCTAAGACGTGGCCAGCCAGAAGTTCAAACCCAACGAGTTTGTCGTTGGTAAACACTCTTCTGATAGCTTACTAAGTGTAGCAGCGTCTGGTCGTCTTTCCTTACTATATGGGACCGAGGCACAACATAGTAAATAAAAGAAAAAGTTGCAACGAAAACTTCGACTCCTCGTAAACTGCATCGTTCTTTTCCAGCCGTCCTGGAAAAGAAAAAAAGTGTAAGTGCATGTCGCAATACACTCGTATGTGCATAAAAACACAATGTCGACGAAAAAAATGGAAAATAAACTCGAGCACACGCAATAGCGTTGAAAAAATAATTTTTCGTTTTTTTTGATCTTCTTTTAAAATAAAAATATAAATATATGGGCATATTAAAATTGTTTTTTAAAGAAAAAATTTTGTATCGTAAAAAGAAAAATCGAGATAATATAAAATGTCATGTAGTGCCTTACGTGCAGTAGTCGTTTAAATGTTCTGGAAATCTTACTCTTCTTCCAGAACGCGTCGTTTTAGGTATATTTTCAGATACATTCGGAGTATCATCGCTAGTATTGGTTGTCGGTTGAGGAATTATGAGTGGAGCCGTGTCGTTCGATTGTAACGAAGGAAAGTCGACGTGAATAGGATTTCCTTCTAAATACGCTGCTTTTAAGCGATCGATGCTGATGCTATCGTTTGTTCCGTTCTTGTCGACTATATAGTACTTAGATTCACGTTGAAGAACTTTGAAGGGTCCTTCGTATGCTGATTCGAATGTTCGTCGATGCGAGTCTCGGCGAATGAAAACGTGTGCACTATATCGTAAGTTAGGTTGGACGAAAACATCAGTTGATTGAGGTCGAATGGAAGCAGGTTTAACTGAACGCATTGCGTTTGTAAGCCTGTTCGTGTAGGAGGTTAGATCTATGTTCATTGAAGAGGATGAAGGATCCACGAATTCTCCTGGAAGTCGAAGTGTCGTTCCATAGACGAGTTGAGCCGCAGTGTATCCAATATCAGCTTTCACTGCATTGCGAATACCTAATAAGACAAGTGGAAGAGCGTCGGTTCACTGTGAAACGTTTGCAGCTGATAGTGAAGCTTTTAGTTGTCGGTGAAAACGTTCTACCAATCCGTTTGCTTGTGGATGGTAGGCGGTCGTTCGGAATCGAGTGATTCCTAAAAGTGTGGTCAGACGATGTAAAAGATCAGATTCAAACTGACGTCCGCGGTCTGTAGTGATGGTTGAAGGGCAGCCGAAGTTTGCTACCCATCGTTCGACGAAGGTGCGGGCCACTGTTTCAGCAGTGATGTCCTTGATAGGTACTGCTTCTGGCCATCGAGTGAAACGGTTTACGCAGGTTAAGAGATAAGAGTATCCATTTGAATCTGGTAAAGGTCCTACTAAATCCAGATGAATATGGTCGAAACGAGCATCGAGAGTTTTAAATGAGCCTAAGGGACATTTATTGTGTCTGATAACCTTAGATTTTTGGCAGCTTACACTGGAGCGTGCCCACTCCCTCACGTCTTTATTCATTCCAGGCCAGCAAAACCGTTCTGCTATAAGCTTGATGGTTGCACGAACACCTGGATGAGAAAGTTTGTGCAATGTATTGAAGACATTGCGTCGACAATGTTTCGGCACGATTGGGCGATCCCTACCTATAGATGTGTCACAAAGTAAGGTTTCCTTACCTGTTCCCAACTGTTTGATCGTAGTTTAAGTGTTGTGGACGATAACTCGTGCTGAAGATCAGTGTCTTCTTTTTGAAGCTCGGCGAGTTTAAGAAGGTCGATTCCTTGGAAACTGTTCAAGGAAGTTATGCGAGATAAGGCGTCTGCAACTACATTGTTTGCTCCAGAGATGTGTTGAATATCTGAAGTAAATTGGGAAATGTAGTCCAGTTGTCGAGACTCACGGGGAGAGTACTTGTCAGAAGGAGAGCTTAACGAGAAAGTGAGCTGTTTATGGTCCGTGAAAAGAGTGAATTCACGGCCTTCGATATAGTGTTGGAAATGCCGTACAGCACAATACATAGCTAGGAGTTCCCTACCGAATGTGCTGTACCTCGATTCGGTGTCTAGCAACCTTCTAGAGAAAAATGCGAAGGGTTTCCAGGAGTTGTTAACCCATTGTTGTAAGACGCCTCCGATTGCCGAGTCCGATGCGTCTACTGCGATACTAATGGGTGCTTTGGTGTCCTGATGTGCGAGCGTTGTTGCTTTAGCAATCAGTTCCTTAACTGTGGAGAATGCTTTTCGTGCGGTGTCGTCCAAGTTAATGGATTTCGCATTTCCACGAAGTTGGTCGGTCAGAGGTTTCATGAGTAATGCGCATTTCGGTATGAAACGTCTATAGAAACTTACGAGGCCGTTAAACGTGCGTAATTGCTTGACGGTGGTCGGTTTTGGGTAATCCAGAATGGCCGCCACTTTGGTTCTAAGGGGTCGGATACCTTGAGCATCGACAGTGTGTCCCAGAAAGTCTAATGAGTTGGTTCCGAATTGGCATTTCTGAACGTTTACAGTAATGCCATGTTTTTGAAGTCGATCGAAAACAAGATCCAGATGCTTGAGATGTCATTCTTTGTCCGGACTTGCGATTAGGTAGTCATCAACATACGCGTGTACAAAGTTGAGACCTCGAAAAACGTCGTCTATGAATCTTTGGAATGTTTGAGCAGCGTTTCTTAGACCGAAAGGCATTCGCAAAAATTCATAGAGTCCGAAGGGAGTTATGATAGCTGTTTTCGGTATGTCATCAGTAGCCATAGGGATTTGGTTATACGCTTTAACCAAGTCGATTTTCGAAAAGACAGTTGTACCTTTCAAGGTAGCTGTCAAATCGTGAATGTGAGGCAACGGGTAACGATCGGGAATGGTTTTTGCATTCAATCGCCGATAGTCGCCAGTTGGACGCCAATCGTTGCTGTCCTTTTTAGGGACCATGTGCAACGGAGATGCATATGGGCTACTTGACGGTCGTATGATTCCTAAGTCTATCATATGGTCGAATTCGATTTTCGCTAACCTTAGCTTTTCGGGAGCTAGTCGTCGTGCTTTAGAAAATGCAGGTGGTCCTGTAGTCAGAGAAATCAAAAGACAGAGTCGAAGAGATCGGAGGAGTATATTTGGCGATGACCAATATATCGGAATTCTCTGATCTATTCTGGCTATCGATTGCGGTTGACGTTGAGCACGGCGTTACCACACGTGATCTGGTGCGGATGCCTGACCGAGCGCCTTCAGCTAGA